TCAAAATGTTAATACAGAGTTATCAAATTATCTAGCAATTCCACTCTATATATTCCCCCAAATGAAAGCATATGTCTACAATAAAAGTTGTACATAAATGTTCATAACAGCATTCTTCATAATGGCCAAAAAGTAGAAAATATCCAAATGTCTATCCACAATTGAACGAAGAAAGAAAATGTGGTATATACATAAAATAGAATATTATTCAGTCATAAAAAGAAATGAAGTATTTATTGATACGAGACACAACAAGAATGAACTGTCAAATTTTATGCTGAATGAAAACAGCCAATCACAAACATGATTCCAGTCATAGAAACAGTCCAGAAGAAGTTAATGCCTAAAGACAGAAAATAGATTCAAGTATGCCTAGGGTTGGGAGAAAGGAAGAATGGGAAATGACTCCTAATGAACATGGGGTGTGTTTCTGGGGTGATGATTATAAGTAGATGGTATTGGTGATTGCACAGCTCTGTGACTATACTAAAAACCATTAATTAATTAATTAATTAATTAATTAATTAATTTTTTTACTGTGAATTCAGTAAAGGTTTACAGAGCAAATCATCATTTGTACATTCAACAAATCACACACTTCATTTCATCTCAATGATTGCTTTCCCCTCAATTTAACACCTATCATTCCACTATCACCTCTTAGTTCCTGTTTCCATTCCTCCTTTCCCAACACATCTGAACTTGTCCTTGGGTAAAAGTTACTCTTTTGATCTTGAATGGTTAACCATTCTATGATGTGTGTACCTCACTTGTGTTGTTTCTTCCATCACCAACTCCAACCCCCACCCAACCATATATCTATCTATCGCTGGACTAAAAATTGAGCCATGAGGGTAAGTTCAGTTTCAGACTTGAATGGTGGCCAAGGGGCACCTCAAGGTTTCATCAGTTTCTATCTGATCAATAGTTAATCTTACATTTTAGGAACAGAGGACAATAGGGTCATCAAAGGAGAAGAGCATGAGAAGAATGTGGGACCCTATCCAGAGAAGCAGTGACATCAGAGATGGAAGCAGAGATGAGGACATGGAGAGATAGAGAAGCTGAGGACTCTAGACTCATGGAAACAAAAAGACTGTGTGTTGGCAGCCAGGAGGCAGACTTGCAGAATGTGTCCTTTGGTTGTTTAAATGATTATATATTCCTAAGTGTTTTTGTGTACAAAA